CCTTCCCTTTCTTTCCTTGCCTTTCTTCCTTCCCTTCTTCCCTTCCCTTTCTCTCCTTCCCTTTCTCTCCTTCCCTTTCTCTCCTTCCCTTCTCTCCTTCCCTTTCTTCCCTTCCCTTTCTTCCCTTCCCTTTCTCTCCTTCCCTTTCTCTCCTTCCCTTTCTCTCCTTCCCTTTCTCTCCTTCCCTTTCTTCCCTTCCCTTTCTTCCCTTCCCTTTCTTCCCTTCCCTTTCTTCCCTTGCCTTTCTTCCCTTCCCTTTCTCTCCTTCCCTTTCTCTCCTTCCCTTTCTCTCCTTCCCTTTCTCCCTCCCATTCTTCCCTTCCCTTTCTTCCCTTCCCTTTCTCCTTCCCTTTCTCTCCTTCCCTTTCTCTCCTTCCCTTTCTTCCCTTGCCTTTCTTCCCTTCCCTTTCTTCCCTTCCCTTTCTATCCTTCCCTTTCTCTCCTTCCCTTTCTCTCCTTCCCTTTCTTCCCTTCCCTTTCTTCCCTTCCCTTTCTCCTTCCCTTTCTTCCCTTCCCTTTCTTCCGTTCCCTTTCTCTCCTTCCCTTCTCTACAGTCCGCCCATGTTCCGCGCCATCAGCCGCAGGGCGCTCACCGAGTGGCTGCACCTCCACCCTCTCTATCCCTAGCACTCCCCCGTGTTTCCCCACTGCCATTCCCGTGCTTCATGCTCCCCCCCCCTCGCCACAGCCAATGGGAGACCCTCTAACCTTCCCTGCCAACATCCTTCTCTGGGGGCCACCCATGTTCCGAGCCATCAGAGCCAGGGCGCTCACCAAATGGCTGCACTTGCACCGCCTGCTGCTGCTCCCCCACCGCCTCTGCCCCTGGCTCACCTAGTGCCCGCGCTTCCACTGCCTCTCCCCCATGTTCCCCCACCTGTTCCGTCTTCCTTCCCCCATTCCACAGCCCATGGAAGACCCCTCAACCTTCCCCAACAATATCTTCCTGTGCAGTCCGCCCATGTTCGGTGCCATCAGCCCGCGGGCGCTCACCGAGTGGCTGTGCTTCCACGCTCTCTCCCTTTCCCATGTGCCCTCTCACAGCCCATGGAGGACCCATCAACCTTCCCCAACAATATCGTCCTGTGCGGGCCGCCCATGTTCGGCGCTATCAGCCCGCGGGCGCTCACCGAGTGGCTGCACTTCCACCGCCTGCTGCTGCCGGTGGACCGTTTTGTCCTGTATGACGCGGGCGGCGTGGTGGACCATGCTGACGTCAGCAGCGCAGTGCAGCCGTGGGTGCGGGCGGGGGTGGTGGAGGTGGTGGGGTTTGAGGAGTCAACGCAGTATGACGTGTGGTCCTACGCTCAGGTAAGGAGCTTCAAATATGCTTCTAGTGTTCCGGGCTGGTGTTTCATTAGTCATTTCATCTCGCACCAGCCCTTATGTGCTGCTACTGGCGTAGTTTGATGCTCAGGCATTCTTCCATTCTCACCGCCTGCCTGCCTGCCTCAGTTTGCCGGCGTTTCCCCGCCAACCAACTCCGCAGCCCTCTCCACCCATGACTGTCTGTTCTGTACGCCAACCGCCACGATGCGCAGTTGGCTGCGCTTTTGCCTAAGTGACTCACACACCACACCCCTCTCTACCCCGCCCCACCGCATGCTCATCACCATCTCCCAGGCCGTCTCAGCCCATGATTGTCTGTATGGGAACCACCACGAGGCGAGGTGGCTGCTTCTTGCCTGGTTGACGCTCTATTTCCCGCCTTCCCCACCCACCACCCCCAACTCCATGCATCAGGCCCCTCAAACACACGACTGCCTGTACGTGAAACGCCCCGAGGCGCAGTGGCTGCTCTTCGCCCAGTGACACACACACAACACCCCTCTCTACCAGCTCTGAACCCCCCACTCTTTTCCCACCATCTTCTTAGGGTCACTCCACGCATGACTGCCTGAAACCGCCACCACTACAAGGCGCACTGGCTGCTGTGCCTAGTTGACCCACACCACCCCACTGACATTTCACCCCCTCCCTCCCTCTCCCCACCGACTCCTCCTTGGCCCTCTCCACGCACGACTGTCTGTACGCAACCGACACGAGGCGTGTGGGCTGCTCTTTGCCAACCTGGAAGAGGTTGTCGACGTGCTTCAAGCACACCCCTCTCTATCCCTCCGCACCCCTACCACTCCCCACCCGCACCAACAACTCAGCCCTCTCAACGCACGACTGACTGTACGGGATCGCCACGGGGCGTGGTGGCTGCTCTTTGCTGACCTGTACGAGGTTCCTCGTGGTGCTTAAAGCACACCACACCCCTCTTCACCGGCACTTCACCCCCGACCCACCCTCAGGCTCTATCAACGCACGACTGCCTGTACGGGAATCGTCACGGGGCGCGGTGGCTGCTCTTTGCTGACCTGGACGAGTTTGTCGAGGTGCTGCCGCCTGCCACGCTCCAGCAGCTGCTACAGGACAACGCCGGCCGCCCGTGGATCACGTTTGGGTGCACGGTGTTCAACAGCTCGTTCTGCCGCCCGCAGGAGCCGTGGAACGGCGGCGCCACTAGGAGAAGAAGGAGGATGTTGCTACAGGGGGGAGGGGCAACAGGGAGGAGGGGCAAACAGGGGAGGGGGAACAAGAACGTGGGCTTTTGAGGCGCTTCAGAAGGCACCCAGAGGAGCCGTGGAATGGCGGCACGACAAGGCGAAGAATGAAGAGGATGTTGCTACAAAGGGGAGGGCAACAGGGAGAGAGGGAACAACAAGGCGGGCTTTTGAGGCGCTTCAAAAGTCACCCAGAGGAGGGGAAGGGGGAGGTGGAGGAGAATGGCGGCACGGCAAGGAGAAGAATGAAAGAGGAGGTTGCTGCAGGGGGAGGGGGAACAGGGAGGGGAAGGGGGAGGTGGAGGAGGAGGGGGGGATTGGGGCTCTGGTGGTGACGTGGCTCCATCAAGGCCGTTCATAGTGGAGGGGGTGCGGTCCCAGTGGCCGCACGCCTACTGCATGAACACATCCCTCTACCCGGACCACCTGTGCCTCGACCAGTTCGGCCACCGCAAGTACATCCTCAACCCGCGCCGCGTCTCCCTCGCTCAGGTCAGTCAGTGCAGTCCACCTTACTCCTCCCTCCCCCCCCCCCCCTCGTGCGTTCCCCGTCTGAACCTCACGAGATGATACGGCTTTTGAGTTGACTCAAAGGCGTCCGTATCTTTGCCATGCATTCCCCCTCAACCGCACGCCGGGTTTCCTTGTGAGTCCATCACAGGCCAAGTTCATTTCCCACCCCTACTCCCGCTCGCCCCATGCCCCCCCTCGTCCATGCCCTCCTCGCCCCATTGCCCCCCCTCGTCCCCCCGTCTGCCGCGCCTACCCTCTCACAGATCCATGTGAGCATTGACCGTGACATGTCATCATGGGCCGTGACATGTCATCATGGGCCGTGAACATTCATCATGGGCCGTGACATGTCATCATGGGCCGTGACATGTCATCATGGGGCCGTGACATGTGATAAAAGTTGGCTTTTTGTTTAGACGTCTCAAAAGTCAACTTTTATCACCTCGCCCGACATGCTCCCCTCGCCGCCCCTGTCTGCCGCGCCTCCCTCGCACAGATCCACGTGATCATCGGCGGCGATATGGACGGCCTGGATCTGCCGACGGACGTGGCGAGATTCGCGCACTACAGGGGGCTGACAACACGCGGTACCCATGTGCGACCTGGGTGCTCCCAGCCGCTGGTGGCGCTACCACGATGGGTGGCACGCATGGCCCAGGCTGCCCGCTCCTGCCCTTCTCTTGTCACAGCCGTTCCTGAGGTGAGGCGTGCTTGAGGCGTGCATGTGACAGTGTTTCATGAGGGGGTGGTGGTGGCACCTAGAGGGCATGGGGGGTACCCCATGTGCGAACTGGGGGGCGCCAAGCCTCTGGTGGCGCTACCACGACGGGGCAGCAAAGATGGCCCAGGCTGCTCGCTCCTGTTGCTCCGGTCCCTGAGGTGAGACGTGTTCTCAGCCATGAACGCACGCGACCTGAGGTGAGGCGTAGTCCGAGGCAATACAGGGGGCTCTTGGCAATACAGGGGGGCTCTTGGCAATACAGGGGGCTCTTGGCACGGGGTGACGGGGGTACCCCGTGTGCGACATGGGTGCCCTGAGCACCTGGTGGCGCTACCATGATGGCGCTGGCCTGCATGGCCCACGCTGCTCGCTCTTGCCCTGCTCTTCTGGCTTGTCTCACGTGCACGTGCGCACACGCACTCACACACGCACGCAAGCACGCACACACACACTCACAACACACACACACTCACACACACTCACATACACACATTCACACACACACACACTCACACATACACTCTCTCTCTCTCTCTCTCTCTCTCTCTCTCTCACACACACACACACACACACACACTGTTCCCCTCTTGCCTGCATGGGCCATGACAAAACCAACCTCCCCACGCCTCCCTCACTACCCCTTTTTCCTCCTCACCTCCACCCCTGCCTCCTCAACCCACCCCACCGCACATGCAGCGCTGCACAGCGCAGGCTCTTGCGAGGCAGCATTGCATGATCGTCGTGACACCTCCGGCTGGCACTCGCTAGTCAAGTGGGTGACCTCCAGTGTGAGCCAGCCTTGCCTCGTCTGAAAAGTTCCTGCAGCCATGTATTGGCTGGTGCTTGCGTGTGTGTGTGCCACAGCAAAAGCTTTATTCTGCTGAAAATTGGCAATCCTTTCCCAGGTCATCAATCGTAGCACTACCATATAAATAAAGCAAGAATGGACCAAGCGGCTTTTCAAGATACCGTAATCCCAGCATCAGTTCACCCTCCATGACACTTCACAATATTTCACCTGTCCAAGAACTGCCATGCGTGAAAGAAAGTTGGTGACCCATGCGTAACAGCATTAATAAGTTACACCAATACGTAAGCAACGATAGAGAGCGGGTTCTTCCAAATTCATCCCCATCGCTTGATTGAATGCAACAAAATTTGCCAACCATGGCACGGATTTCTAATCGAGCAGCAAAGCAACTACCCCGAATGGCAGATTGGAAGGGCCACCCAAACCTGCTGCCATCCATGGTGTTAGCATGTGCCTGTATGTGCGTGCAAGGTGGGGTGTGGATTTATCATCAGGGTACCCTATTGGATGAAGGCGTGACGCCTTGGCGCGGTTTTTTTTTACGCGCCTCAAAAAGGGCGTGTGGATGGATGCGATGGGTGGTTATTGCAGCATGCCGTTGGAGAGAGGGGTGACGCCTTGGCTAAGCACCTGGTGCAGCGCTGCCACGGCCTCCTCTGTGTCCCGCACCTCCGATGATGCACTGAATGACAGCCGCTGCACATTGAACTGGTTGGGGAAAGATGGGGGGAAGGGTTGGGGAGAGGGGTTTGTTTGAAGCACAGACAACACACAAGAAACCCACAGCAACGCCATACCTTGGCCCCACAGGAAGCACCAACAGCACTACACAATCATAGCTCCGCCCCATATCTTAGCGCCGTGCCAACAGCAGCCACTCACCTTAGCGCCATGCCGGACACGGATGTCAACACCCTTGCCGTCGATGCTGATGAACAGTGCATCGTCCACAGGCTGCGGCAGGATCGACACCAGCTGGCGCTTCAGATCCGATCCCAGCCGTACGTTCAACTCCTGCCTCAACGGGAGGCACAGGATTGTTTGTTTGTTTGTTTGATTTTTTTTTTTTTTTTTCGAAGCCCATAAAGATCCGAACCCCAAGATCAAACCCCAACCCAGCTGTACATTCTGCTCTGCTCCTGCCTCACAACCCACATGCAGCCCACTGGCAGTCCCTTGTGCCTTCCACCCCATCCCTCTTTCACGCACGATGTGCCCTTGGTGTTGTGCAGCGCAATCGCATCCGGTGTGGCATCATGGTAGTGTGTCATGTCACACCCCGCCCACCCACGCCCCCCACTCACATGCAGTATGGCCTCGGAGTCATGCAGCACGATGGCATCCGGTGTGGCAGCAAAGTGTGTGCGACGGACCGACCCACCCACACACCCACCCACCCACCCACCAACCCACCCATCCATCCACCCACCCAGCACCCAACAGCCTCCCTCCACCCCCCATCCCCAACTCACATGCAGAATGGCCTCAGAGTCATGCAGCACGATGGCATCCGGTGTGGCAGCAAGGTAGTCCTTCACATCAATCCACGCCACCGTGCCAAAGCCGCCCACGAAATAGATGTCACTGCACATTTAAATAAAAAGAGAGGAAGTGGGTTTGAAACGTCTGCAAAATTAAAGAAAACACAAGGGTAGTCTTAGCTCCTCCACACCTGTGCGACAACCCAACCAGATCTGCTGCATGCGGTAGTAGCTGACGTTGCCCCACACCTGCATGGCTAAAACCCTATCTAACCCATAGGGGGCTGGTAACCCAACCAGATCTGCTGCATGCGGTAATAGCTGAAGTTACCCCACATCTGCATAGCTAAAACCCTGACTTACCCAAGAGGGGCTAGTAACCCTACCAGATCTGCTGCATGCGGTAGTAGCTGAAGTTGCCCCACATCTGGGCGGCGCCGTGGTGGTGACGGCGGGCAAAGAAGCGCTGCGCCCACTGCTGCTGGGACGGCGGCACCGGATACACGTCTCCAAATATGGTGGCCCGTGCGTTGGCCAGCCCACTCCACCCTGGGATCTGGTACAGTGGGGAGGGGAGTGGAGGGTAGCATGAGGGAAAGGATGGAGAGGGGAAGGTGGGAAAGAGCATGGTTGCTGAGACGTGTGTATCGGCTGACTGGGGCGGCTGAAAAGCTGGGCCTCCTCACAGAAGCGCTGTGCCCACTGCTGCTGGGACGGCGGCACCGGATACACGTCTCCAAATATGGTGGCCCGTGCGTTGGCCAGCCCACTCCACCCTGGGATCTGGGAGAGGGAGGGGGAGTGGAGGGCACGAGTGTAGGAAGGGGGGATGCACCCAAGAGTAGATTGAGCGTCGAGCAAGCTGAGCAAGTGGAAGCTGTCTAGTAGCCTGAGACCACTGCTGCTGGGAGGGCAGCACAGGAGAAAAACTTGGTGGCACGTGCATTGGCCAGCCCGCTCCACCCTGAGATTTGTGGCTCAATCAGCAGCAAAACTGAGTGGTCTCAAATGTCACAAGTTTTGATACGTCTCAAAAGGGGGTCAATCAGCAGCAAAACTGAGTGAAAGAAAAAAATCACAGGAAAAAAACACGTGTCTGCGAAAGCAAAGAGATGGAGAGTGGAATTACAAAGAATGAGAATGGTGAGCGATGGCATGCACGAGTGGTTACCTGAACAACAAGAGTGCAGCGAGGGTCTGCAAGCATGTTGCGCGTGTGTATGGAGAGAGGCGAGAGGAGGAATATGGGATCTGCACACAGAGAAGCAGAAGCAGACAATACACATACATGAATTTTTTTCTGTTTTAAAAAAGAAATGGTGGACGAACAAACCAAATCATTAAGGGAAAATTCCAGTTCAGGTTACTTGATAAAGGGAAATGGATGAGCTACAAACTGGTTCACTTTATTTTGGAACCCCCCCCACCCCCCAAAAAAAAAAAAAGTTCTCGAGAATCAGATCAAATTTCTTCACTGCAAGGAAGCCCAACGAACTAGAGCCCAGAGCAGAGCCTCCGTAGGTATGCACGAGGAGGCTTCACCCAACGAACAACTTATGGCCCTTGAGTTTGAACCTCCCCACTTACGGCCCTCGTCGTCGGTGGCAAAGTCGACGAGCGAGCCAAACGGGTAGCCCTTGCGGCGGTGGTGCATGCGCGACATGATGCTGCACAGATGGGCGAAGCGCGCCTGTGTGGTGCACAGGGGGGACAAAAAAGAAGAGGACATGGGGGGGAGGTGCCTTGACATACGGTTGAATCGTGGCAAGCACCTGCATTTTTGGAGTGGCACCTGTCCCGCATGCACACACTGGACGCGGACAGTGTAGTTTTGAGACGTTTTGAGACGTCCTGAGACGTTTTGAGACGTCCTGAGACGTCTTGAGACGTCCTGAGACGTCTTGAGACGTCTCAAAACTACACTTTTATCTCGTCGTGGCAAGCACATACAATCTTGGAGTAGCACCTGTCCCGCATGCACACACTGGCCGCGGACAGCCTGCCCGTGGCACATACTGCTTGCTCCACAAAGCACCTGCCCCACACACCACCTGCCCCACACACACACCGGCCATCTCACCTGCTCCACCAGGTTGCGAGACACATACCACCAGCCCCACATACCACCTGCCCCACATATCACCTGCCCCACATACCACCTGCCCCACATACCACCTGCCCCACATACCACCTTCCTCACACACACCACCTGGCCCCACACACACCACCGTCTCACCTGCTCCACGAGGTTGCGCACGGCAACAGCAGGCGAGGGCAGCCCGTGGAGGCAGTGGCGCTCTGCACGCCCCCCGACACCGGCACTCGGTACAGCCCCGCCCCCCCGCTGGCTCCCCCACTGCTGCCACTGCTGCTGCTGGCGCTGCTGCTGCTGCTGCTGCTGTTACTTCCTGAGATTACCCCTGAAGCTGCTCCTGCTGCTGCTGCTGCTGCTGCTGCTGCGTATTCTGCTGCTCGGTTCTCCGGGTTTGAAGGGCCTTGGTCCGATGAGTAGAACTGAAACTGACAGGGGTGGCGAGAAAGCGCGGGAGAGTGTGTGCGAGTGTTTTCTTGCATATCTGCTTACTAATAATTCCAAGTAAACATCTGACCCTGCTTGCTTGTAATTCCAGATTTATCCAAAAACATGGACCTTTCGAGAAAGGAGGGATGTGCGAGGAGGGAGGGGCAACAGAGTGAAACAGAGTAGAAGGTGGATGGGGTGGGGGCTGGATTGGTAGGAATAAGAAAGGGGCAAAAGTGAGAGAGCAAGAAAAGGAGAGGGCAAGGGAATGTTAACTCACCCCGTTATCAAGCGAAATAGATCCACCCTCCACCAGATCATCCTCCCCCTCCTCTCCTTCCCACTCCTCTCCTTCCTCCCTTTCCTCGCCACCCCTATCCCCTCCATCCCTCTGCTCTTCTTCACCCCACCCTTCTTCCGAACCAATTTCTTGCTGTCTCTCCCCATTCCCCACGCCCGCCCACCCACTCCCAGCCCTGACCCGCCCTCTCCGCCCTCTCCTGCCCGCTCTGTCCGCTACAGCGGCGCTACAGCCAACGAGCGGGGGAAGCGGGCGCGCGGGGGAAGAATGAGCGGATGCGCGGGCGGATCTGGATAGGTGTTGGCGCGCTATGGGCGGAGGGACGGGGCAGAAGTTGGACACGTGGCAGCTTCTGCTCGTAGCGCAACAAGGCGGCGGTTGGAGGTTGATGGCTGGGGGTGGTGGGAACTGGGATGGGCGCAACTGGAAGGGAGCACTGCGCGGAAGAGGGAGGGGGCGTGGGGAGAGGGGGCGAGCGAGAGGAGAGGGGTGGAGGGGTGGAGGGGATGAAAAAGGGGACAGGGGGGAGGAGAATGGAACTTTACATTGGCGGAGGGTTTAAGCGGCAACTAGTCAGAAAGAGCGGGGAGGGAGGAAAGTGACGAAAGAGGAATGGTTGGAGGGGGTGGGGGCGTAGTACCGAGGGTTTATGAACCGAGGAGAAAGGGTTTGAAAATGCAATGGCGAGGTTTAAGGGGACACGTAACGCAATACGCGGAGGAATGCTGCACAAATGCTACATGACTCCACACACACGTTGTGGGGAGGCGGGCGAGGAGAGAAAAAGCAAGTGTTAAGACTCGCTTGCTTGCTTCAGTAAGGAAGCTTGAACTAGGTAGCTATAACTCCCTGCTTTCGTAAACCTCCTGTCGTCGCACATACATGGCTTTCCTCTGCTTTGTTTATGATGTCCGGGTAATAAAAAAAAACATGCACGCCACCTCTTTCTTGTGGTTATCTATCTCTTTCTCTCAACCCAAAACTCGGCTCCTCTCTTATGAGAATCCTTCGCAAGCTCGCGACAAACAGACGCCGTTTTGTCTTCAGCACCCGCCGCAAGTTGTTTCCTCTCGATCAGTTATGTTGTTTCCTCTGGATCAGTTATGTTGTTTCCTCCCCCTCCCTCCTCCCCTCTTCCCCCTTCCTCTTTCCCTCCCTTCCCTCCCTTCCCTACCTTCCCTACCTTCCCTCCCTTCCCTCCCTTCCCTCCCTTCCCACGCCCCCTCCCTCTTCTCTCCCCGTTGTCTGTCGGTTGTACTGCGGAAAGACTCGAAGTTGATTTGCGTCCACGTTATAGACTCACCTGTTAGCAGATCCCAGTCGGATCGGCGGATGCATTCTGGCGGTCTGGCTGGCGGGGCTGGACATGCTGCTCGCCCCGACCGCTGACTGCATTCCCGCGACTGAATCGCACCGCAACGCGCGACGAGGCGACGGAGGTCGAATGAACTGGATCGCACAACCACCCACGGCGACGCAGATCAAATGGATCCCACCGAATGGAAGGTGGTCGAGGTCGAATAGATCTCGCCGAACGCAAGGCGACAGGGGGAGAATGGATCGCTCCGCCAGGAAAAGCAAGCAACTGGACCGAGACGGCAAGGGGAAGCGCTTCTCGAGGTGTTTGGAAGGATCGAATCTGGATCGACGCGAGGCAACGCGTTACAGTTCGCAGGTCGTAAGAATGCGGACGACGCCGGAGAGTAAAGTGGGAAAGAGAGATGGAGGTAACGCGAGATGAAAGAAGAAAAACCGACGACGACGACAGTGGACGAATACGAACGATAAGGATGCGGTCTGATAGTTGTGATCACGACCGTCGTCTCAACTATGAAGCGGTCCTCCTGTGTACTTCACAGCTGTGCTTGCTAGCTGCAAGTTCCAACAACATTCGAACGGTGGCAAGGAGTTTTCTGTCTTTGCTCTGGAAATAGAGTGAAAGTGTATGCAAAACCCGACTAGGTTGGTAGGTACAACTGAGTGATTTTTTTGCAATACAGATTAGCAAATAAAGAAAGGGATGCACAAGTGGTTGAGAAAAACACGTCAGAAAAGCAAAGTCCGAAGTTAGTACACCCAGAATTTCGCGGAGTTGTTATGACTAGTCCTCGATTTTGGGTGTGACTCCTAAGCGGGCATGTATGCATTCGCTGGAGCTGGACATCCATGCGGAGAAAGAAGCGCAGCGATGGGCTTGTTGCTGAGTCACACTTCAACACGTGGCAAATGATCTCGCGTGGCGGCTGTTGGTGGAGGGTTCCTCGCTATGACTAACTCCGCCATTTTCTTTACGGATATGTTTACGGAGAGCAACAAATTGACCATTGCCCACCCATTCGCGTCCGACTAAGCACACAACACTAATTTGTGAAGCAGACAGACGTGCATTTCCAGACTAGGCTAGCAAACCAGGAACATCAAATGCGAGTGACAGCAGCGTGGCTTCAGATGCCTTCAGCCGTTTTATGCTCTCCTCCAGTCGAACCCTACGCTGCTGATCAACAGCCTTCAGGGCTGCTATCTTAGATATGTCTCCAGCATGAATCTCCCGCCACACAGCACCATCAATGCCATCCAGGAGAGCATTCTCAAGGCACATCCGAATCTCCATGGGGATCACATCACACAACCTCTTGTGCATCACCTTGGCATAAGAAAACATGTTGATCTGAAGATCCCTCGCAGCCTGGTCGTCGTTGCTTATCAGATTGGCGAGTGAAGCAGTGCTGGAGGCGAAGTCTCCAATAGAAGGAATAGGAGGGGGACCTTGCTCCGAGCTACCAGGCTGCCCTTTCTTGTATTCGGCCATTTTCACATGGATTTGAGACACCGTGTCCATGTAGTAATGGTTGAGCGTAAAGATCACCTTCTTCTCCTTAGTCAGCATGTCTTGAATGAAACGGCTTGCTGACTCCTTAGCCTTCCTCAGGGCATTGAGGCCTTGAAGGTGAGCCACGTTGTTCAGCCCAGGGTAAATCCCACAGATGTGTGATGCCACAGCCTGCTGCACCTCGGTTGCATAGGCGAAACAGTCGTTCACTAGGAGCAAGCACGGCCCTTCAACACTGTCCACCACCTCCTGGACAAGCTGCTTCACCACAGCCTGGTCAAACATGTTTGGGAGCGAAATCCCAGCCACCTCTTTCAAAGCTTCTTTACACCTTTCAGAGTAGTCGGTTCCAAGGAAGTCCGGAAGGACACCCCTCATCTGCACCTCGAATTTGTTGAACTTCTCATGCAGCCTGGCAGCATAGTGCATCGCATCATCACTCTGAAACGGGCCATACTTCCCACCGATGACACCACTCATCATGTCCCGTCTCTTCTGGATCGTTGAAGAAACAATCCCCAATGCTGAAGCGTTAGAGGTGGCAGCAAACGGGATAATCTCAAGTTCAGACTCCTTACCAACAAGAGCCTTTTGAATGGCCTGTCTGATCCTTGGGATGCTGTCTGCAACCCTCTTGGCCTGAATCTCCGTCAGCCTTTGAGCAAGGGCTGGAATTCCGAGGCAATGGGGCTCAATCTGGGACAATTCAGGATGGTTGTTGAAGAAAGCAGCTTCCGCCCTTCTTGCATCGTCATGAGATGCATCAGCGTCTGTCTTGTTCCGGACACACACATAGCCAAGCCCAATCCGCACCGAATTTCCTTGAATTTTCTCATAAAGGCCATCAGGAGCCCGATCAACCTTGGTGACGACAGCCAGGGTGCGATCTCCATCCTCGTCAACCTCTTGCGACATCACAATGGACTCGCATGTCGTGAAATCCACCTCAGCTGCAAGAACGTTAAGAATTACACTCTCTTCCGGAGTAATGTAATGCATGATCATTGCCTTAACCTGGTCGTAGATGTCCTTCGGCTGGTCCTCAATAGGAACACGTGTAATTCCAGGCAGATCCACCAGCGTCAGATCAGGTAAGTCGGGGCGCTGCACTTGCAGGGTAATTGGGCAATTCATCACGCCTTTCCGGTTCCCAGCCAAGGCCACAGTCGCCTCGGAAATCTCCTGCTCAATCAGTTCTTCATCAGGCAAGACTTTGGACATCTTACCGGTAAGGGGGGTGTATTCGATCGTTATCATTTCCTGTCCTTTCACACATGACTGGAGCCTCAAGATCAGTGGCACTCGAGTGACAATTCCCTTGCCTCTCGGCAGGCTGATTCCAGACAGGTTTTCCAAAACGGAGGACTTGCCGCTGGACTGATCACCGACCACAACGATCGTTGGGAGCTCGATCCCCTCTTCCTTGAGACCTAGAAGCCGGAGCTTGTCGATCGCATCCAGCATCGGACGGACATTCTCATTGAAGGAAGAGATGAGAGGAGCCATGGTGAGGCGAGGAGGGTTCAACTGTGTAGGACTGGGAATAGGAGTAAAAAGAGAGGCTAGAGAACGTAGCATGCTTCGCAACAATGACACTTCCTTGAGCTAGCTTTTCATATTCGCCAGAAGCGGGTCCAGAGTAGCAGCCAAGAACAATCAGTGAGCCCACCCCTGTCATGTCGCGCACTGGCAGCAGTACTCACGATCCTGGCAAGGTGCATTCGGTCGGCTTAATCAATGCAGGAGAGGGTGAACCCGTTCGAGGCGGAATGTGGTGCATGTGATTCGCCATGCTAATTAGTTTGCAAATCGTGAACCTTGGAAATTATCGATGCGTAATAAGATGCTCCTAAAAAATAAGGGAGGAGGGAAGCTGGCAAGTTCCGACTGTGGGCGTGGAGAAGGCGTGGGTCGAATCACGGGTCCAAGACTGTAAGCAAAAACCGGGTTCAAGATGTCGAGAGAATACCTTCGTGGGAAAACGGCAATCTCTAAATTGTAATAGTCTCGTCGTGAAACTATGAGAACCTATAGCACACGGAAACGCAAAGAACGAAGCTTTTGAGGTATGAACAATCGAAACTGATAGATTCGGAGAGATCAACATCGACGAGTGGTTCGGTGCAGGCACTGCCAGCTAGTATCTCGTGCCAAGTGATATCAAGGCGGAATATTCGAGGCTAGATGGGGAATTGAATTTTTGGGCGTGACGAGGAGGGAGGATATTTGCTCTGCGAACTGGAGTCGAAATCGCTGACAGATGATCTGTACAAGCCGAGCCAGAATGCACTTCGAGCACGAGTACAGTACTCAGGGTTGAGTGCCAGAATTTGTAGCACAGCTGCTCTCAAACAGTACAGTACATGTCTGTGATGGTAACCTGATGAAACCTGGACGACCTGTACGAGCCTGGGGTCAACAGTGTTGCCTAGCATGAAACTGGAAATGCCAAGGTACAGTCCCTCGCTCCACCCATTCGTACAACTCATGTGTGACCAGATCCTGCTCCAAGCTCCGTGCCTTGGCTGTCTTCAGCCCTCCATCAATACAGCTCGTTTACTGGCTTGGATTGCCTTAGCCGCTCGTCGCAATATATCGTAGACTGCGGAAGGAGATATGGCCGACGATGCAGCACCAGAAGTGGTGCTGGATACAACAATGGGACAAATAACAGTCGAGGTAGGTTATAGGTTGAGCGTAGTTACCGTTGAGGGTTGCAAAGAGTACATCTTTGTCGGTCACAATATATATTTTTCACGTAGCGGCCGCCGGTATTGATATAACTATCGTTTGGCGATTTGCGCCAAACTTGAGGAATCCGAATCCGATTTCATACATTCCCTAAACATGTGCTTTTACCAATAATGCATCGGTTCTCCTTCCTCGTCCGCACCCTTTCCAAATCACCTTGCGAAGCACTGTGCAGTTGTACCACAAGCACGCTCCCAAGACGTGCAGAAACTTCTTAGAGCTCTCACGGAGAGGGTACTACAATGGGACCAAGTTCCACCGAGTGATTAAGGTGAGCTGGCAGCGCGAGATACGGTGAGCTGTTGAACCCAGCGATCTATTGGAACTGCAAATTGAGTGATCAAGTCCATCTGGCACCATTCCGGCTGGTGACTAAGCAATGCTTAAATCCTGTAGACTATTGCAGGGGCCGAGATTAGCGTTGGACCCTAGACAAGGTTTTGGTGGCAATTATCTTATTGTTTCCGTCGGTTTCCAGTCACTGCTGCTGTGACCAATACTGCTGCTTCAGCAGAAGCTCATATTTGCCATTTGAAACATTAACTTCTCCGATTCACCCGTCACTTCTGCATTGTGCATTGGCAGGATTTTATGGCTCAAGGCGGTGATCCCACAGGGACTGGACGAGGAGGCGAGTCCATCTATGGGTGAGTGATTCTTTAGGCACCTTAAGGTTCGCTGGGTGTAAGGAAGCCAGGAAAGTGTTGGGTGGAGTGACATGCATCCCACTGTCCATGGATATGTGTTCAACCTCTCCGTTGCACTTCCGAAGTCCTTAGGTCTCAGATCAGAGTCACCTTACTCTCCACTGCTCCTCTCATCATCCCAATCACATAACTCTCGTTCCTGAGCCACCTCTGAAGTCGATATCACTGACCCCAGTCATCTCTTCTCCTCCTGACTCCCAACCCTTCTGTTGTGTCCCCCCACGGCCCAGAGCCAAGTTTGAGGACGAGATAACACGTGAGTTGAAGCACACGGGTGCCGGTGTGCTGTCCATGGCCAATGCCGGGCCCAACACCAACGGCAGCCAGTTCTTCCTCACTCTCGCCCCCACTCCCTGGCTCGATGGTGCGTGGCTTGAATTCCTTCGTCCTTACTCCCTGGCTCGATGGCGAGTGGATTGAATTATGTCATCCTTACTCTCTGGCTTGATGGTGCATTCACTGATCACCCTCGCACCACTTCAGAACTGCCTCAACAATTATAGATTCAACACTCAACGCCTCAAATGCACTACACAGAAGATTTGAGAAGTTGCTAGATTGGCTATATCCTGTCCTGTCTCACTCAACTCTCTTGTTGCACTGCAGGCAAGCACACAATATTCGGTCGTGTGTCGCATGGAATGGACGTGCTGAAACGGCTGGGCAACGTGCAGGCCGACAGGACTGACAGGTGATGCAGCAGGAATGGGATGCGTTCTTGCATGCATGCACAGTAACCCAGTACTCTTCCCCGCTAGTGGGTGATGCAGAGCTCTTTCTGACCTTCGTGATTTTGTCCTTTTGTGTCAGTCTTACTTTTCCCGTCTCCGCCGGTTTGCGCCGTCTCGCCTCACCTCACTCCGATTCTTCGCTTGGTGCTGTGCTGTGCAGGCCCATCCATGATGTGAAGATTATCAAGGCAGTTCCAAGAGACTAACCTAGATCTTTATTGTGTGGCTGGTTAGGGGATCGCAGTATCTAGTTAGCGTCAATAATATATGGTTTCGTTAAAATGCCTCAACAACTCCCCTCATGCTTTGCAGTGCACATCTTACATTTTTACATTTAGTTGAAAAGTGCACTGCTCCTAGCCACATACGGGGATAGCTTGATCAACAGCCCCGACACCTTTCTGTTGATCACCTCAGCACCATTGAGCAGCACCAGCCTCCATGGCGCCATCAGCGCGCTCCGTCATCAGAGCTCGCTTGCTCCTGCAGTCTAACCCCTCCGCGAGTTACGCCGAGTACACCTGCCGCGTCGCATTCCAGGCACATTCGCGTCGGTACGTTCGTTCCTAGTCGCACTCAAAGCAGCCTGCCGCGTCGCATTCCCGGCTCGTTGAACATGTCCCCGGGAATCTCCTTTCTTAGCTACTACATGGCAACGTTGATTTGAGGCGAGAAATCGCTTACCGTGCGGGCCCGTGATTTGCGATACAACTCTTTCCACTCTGACTGCGTCTCTCATGATCCTCGCTAGTGCCCTTTGCCCACCCGCGTATTTCTCGCACTCTTCAACCCTCCCCTCCTCCCCCTCCTCCAATTCCTTCCTAGGGATGGCGTGTGTGACGCGTACATTGCATCTGGACGTCAGGTGTATCACTGTCAAATGCCAGTAGGCCAGGAGAATTTGTTGCAACAGGGCAAGGCGCAGGTGCTTCTGCCGCACCGTGTCGAGGTGGGTTCTGTTGATTGACACTGTTCATGTGGGATCTGTTATGCACATTGTTCGGGTAAGTTGACTTACCCTGTTCACTTGACCTTGTTTATTCACATTGATCTTTTTTCAAGTTGGTTTAAGCCATTCAGGTGGGATTCCGGAAGTTTCTGCTTCCATCATATGAATGCCGCCTCATCATCATACCACCTCTCCATGCCACGTGTCCACACCATGCTACTTGTCACCTTTTCTGGAGACGTCTCGAAAATCACATCATGCTGCTTGTCCAATTCTCCCCACCTCTCCTCTCCCCTCCCATCCCCCTCCCCATCCCCCTCCCCGTGTCCCCCCCTCCCCCCCTTCCTCCCCTTCAGGACGTCACACCAGTGCCTGTCCCCTCTCTCCTGCACGCACTGCCCGTGCAGAGCCTCGCATCTGCGGCCCTGGGAGGCACCGGAGGGCGAGCAGGTGAGCAGGAGTGGTGCTGATGAGCAACACGTGGCTTACATGTGTCAGGCTCAAGAGGATCAGAGAGGCAGAACTGGAAGAGCGCATCTGCTCATTTACATCTGACTCTCTCTCGCACGAGCATATGGCTCACCTGTATTTTAGTAGCCACAGCACAAACAAAATATCTATGCAAACTCGTTCGATCAAGAGCCCCCACCTTTGCTCTTCTCTGCCATGGCTTCATCTCTCCCCCCCTTTTGACTTCTCTTTGCATGACCTTGCTTTCCCTATTCTCTTGGCAACTTCCCTTCCCCTTCCCTCATACACCCTTCTCTCCTCCCCCTATCCAATCTTGCCTCCAGCCGCCACTCTCCTTTCCTCTGTGGACTCACTTGGTCGAGCCATCGTCTCCACCTTCTCCTCTTCATCTGGTAAGTCAGCAACGTCAACCGAGTCAACCGAGTCAACCAATTCAGCTCTCGTTTTCCTTTTCAAGCTCTCATTGTCACTTGCATTTTCTCCTTGGTTGGCCAAGACAAGTGCACGCCACCATGCTGCTGCTCTCCACCCCTCCCCCCCTCCCCTCCCCTCCCCTCCCCTCCCTTCCCCTCTCCCCCCCCCGCGTTTCAGCAGCAGCAACTATTGGTTCCATCTCCCACTCTCCCACTCTTCCTCGTCTCTGCGACTCCTCCTCATCTCTCCCATCGATAGCCTCACACATCGCAGTGCCTCTCGACTCCCTCGGCCACCTCTCCCCTTCCACTGCGGGACGTTAAGGTTCCCAACTGGGACCATGCTGCTCATATGCTTCTGCCATCTTCCTCCCACCCTTCCCTTTCCCCCCATCTCCCCCATCGCCCCGCACATGGCAGTGACTCCTGACTCCCTCTGCCACCTCGCCCCCTCCCCCTGCGGCATCACTGAGCCAGGCCCATGCTGCACTGCCATCTCCGTCACAGGACCCTCCACCATCCGGGTATGGCTCACGTACCAAGTGCTCATTGTGCTCTGTGTGTGTCAGTGTATGTTTTGATTGTACCGTGCAAGTGTCCGTTTCCCCCTGCGGCATCACTGAGCGGGGCCCGTGCTGCACTGCCATCTCAGTCACAGGACCCTCACCCTTTGAGTATGGCTCACGTACCATTGTACTGTCTGAGACTGAGTGTACTTTAATCAAAATGTATCGTGTAGGTGTTTGTTTGCCCCTTGCGGCGTCACTGAGCCGGGGAGGGGACTCTGCTGCCATCTCTGTCACAGGGCTCTCGACCCAGAAGAATACAGTGGTACAGCAAAAAAATATTCAGTGGTTCAGTGTGAACGTACAGTGTACAGTGTGAACGTACAGTGCACAGTGTAAACGTACAGTGTACAGTGTAAACGTACAGTGTACAGTGATGTGTAATTCTTCATGGTATGTGTACAGTGTATGCGCGCCATGAATATTTACATACACTGTGTTTGTGTAAAGTACAGTGTTTATGTACCCCTGCAACATCTCTGACTTGACTTTGATTGACTCGGTTGACTCCACTTGACTCACCCTCTCCCCGCCTTCCTGCCCCCCTCCCCCCTGCACCAGTTTTTACTTCCGTCTTAGTTTTGAGGCGCCTCAAAGCTAGCCTCCCCCCTGCACCAGTTTTTACTTCCGTCTTAGTTTTGAGGCGCCTCAAAACTAGCCTCCCCCCTGCACCAGTTTTTACTTCCGTCTTAGTTTTGAGGCGCCTCAAAACTAGCCTCCCCCCTGCACCAGTTTTTACTTCCGTCTTAGTTTTGAGGCGCCTCAAAACTAGCCTTCCCCCTGCACCAGTTTTTACTTCCGTCTTAGTTTTGAGGCGCCTCAAAACTAGCCTCCCCCCTGCACCAGTTTTTACTTCCGTCTTAGTTTTGAGGCGCCTCAAAACTAGCCTCCCCCCTGCACCAGTTTTTACTTCCGTCTTAGTTTTGAGGCGCCTCAAAGCTAGCCTCCCCCCTGCACCAGTTTTTACTTCCGTCTTAGTTTTGAGGCGCCTCAAAACTAGCCTCCCCCCTGCACCAGTTTTTACTTCCGTCTTAGTTTTGAGGCGCCTCAAAACTAGCCTCCCCCCTGCACCAGCTTTTACTTCCGTCTTATTCCCCCTCTCTCTAGACCTGCACGACGCAGACTCCACTTCCCCAGCTTCAAAGTGTTTCCCCTCCCTCTTCCACATCACCTCCTCTTCCCCCCCCCTCTCTCTCCCCGCACCAGGTGGCTACGTCCTGTTTCTTCCCCCGATTAGTAGACCTGCACGACCCTGCTTTCCCCTCCCCCGCTTCCCCCCTGCGCACATTCCACCTGCCCTTCCCCCCCGCTGCTGTGGGCTTCCTGGGGGGAACTGAGCGGGGCAGAAGGGGAGGGAAGCGGAGGGGAGGGGAGATGGAAGGGGAGGGGGAGGGGAATGCGGTTGAAGGGGTGAGGCTGCTGGCAGTGTGCGAAGGGCCTCAGGTGTGTGTGGGTTGGGGTCTCTTTTGTCTCTTTTGTGCGGTGAGGTGTGGTTCGATTATTCAATTGTGTGTTTGTGGGGACTCACGTGCGTGTGGGGTGGTGGGGGGGGCATGTACATGGCTCAGCACAGCTCACATACAGATGCATGTAAGCAAGCCTGCATCACCACATTGAACGCTGAATTAGCAACTCATGCCGGCAGCCTCTGTCTGAAATTTTCCTAGCACCAACGTCTGACGTCACCATGCCATGTCACCATGCCATGTCATCATGCCAGCTCAGCATCTGGGACGAGAGGGCCGCTGAAAACGGTGGCTGCATCCAGCGAATCACCGTCTCTCCCGCTGCCGAGCCTCTCTACGCCCTAGCCTCGACAATAGGCTCGGGAACAGGCTCGGTAACAGGCTTAGTGGCAGTAGGAGGGGCCGAGCGCACTGTAGCTGTGTACGACGTGCGCAAATGGGCGGCGAGAGGCCGATGGGTCGGCTGCGTTCGGCAGGACGTGATGGGAATAGCTTTCCCTGTGGCTGGTGGCGGGAGAGAGGAAGCGAGACAAGAGGGACTGGAGGGTCTTTCATTTCAATCGGATGAATCTGTGTTTGTGTGGAGCGGTGATAATGAGGTGGTATGTGGGAGGTGGACTGAAGGCGAGGGGAGGGCGGGAGGGGTGCGAAGAGCAGAGAAAGGGAGGGGTAAAGGGGGGAGTGGAAGGGGGGGCAAGGGGGGGGAATGGGGAGGGATTGAGGCCGGGGGGAGGGGAAGGGCGCAGCCAAGTAGAGAGAAAGTGAATCAACAGTACAGGGAGCATCAGAACAGGGAGCAGCGGAACAGAGAGGAACAGAATTGTAGAGGGGGCGTGTGTAAAGAGGATGTGGGGTGTGCACACCGGGAGGAGGAGATGGAGTTGGACAGAGGAGGAGGATTGGGAGAGAGAGGAGGGGGAGGCAGAGGGGCCAGGGTAGCCGATGGAGAAGCAGCAGCAGAAGCGGAAGCAGCAGGGGAGGGGAGCAAAGGGGCATCGCGAGTGCATCAGTCGTTCCGAGGAGACAGCGCCTGGTGTGGCATTGCAAGGGTGAGTGCGGGAGGGCTACACAAGGGAAATTGCAATTGTGTTTTTTTGCACCAGTCGTTCCAAGGAGACAGCGCCTGGTGTGGCATTGCAAGGGTGAGTGCGGGAGGGCTACACAAGGGAGATTGCAATGGTGTTTTTTTGCACCAGTCGTTCCAAGGAGACAGCGCCTGGTGTGGCATTGCAAGGGTGAGTGCGGGAGGGCTACACAAGGGAAATTGCAATGGTGTTTTTTTGCACCAGTCGTTCCAAGGAGACAGCGCCTTGTGTGGCATTGCAAGGGTGAGTGCGGGAGGGCTACACAAGGGAAATTGCAATTGTGTTTTTTTGCACCAGTCGTTCCAAGGAGACAGCGCTTGGTGTGGCATTGTGAGGGTGAGTGACTCTGAGTCGACTTAAAGGTCAGCAGCAGGGGAGGGGATCAAGCGGGCAACGGGGCGTCGCGAGTGCACCAGTTGTTCCAATGGGTCAATGCCTGGTGTGGCGTTGTGAGAATGAGTGGCCTCTGAGTTGACTCGAAGGTCAACAGCAGGGGAGGGGGGCAAAGGGGCAATGGGGCATCACGAGTGCACTAGTTGTTCCGATGGGACAGTGCGTAGTGTGGCATTGTGAGGTTGAGTGATCAGAGTGGGGAATGCAAGGGTGAGTCGCAGTGGGGAATGCAAGGGTGAGTTGCAGTGGTGAATGCAAGGGTGAGTTGCAGTGGTGAATGCAAGGGTGAGTCGCAGTTGTGAATGCAAGGGTGAGTCGCAGTGGTGAATGCAAGGGTGAGTCGTAGTGGTGATCAAGTGATAACGGATGAAATGGTTACTGCCCTGGTGAATGACAGGGGTGCTCAGCACATGAGGGAAGGGGGTGGGATTGCGTACGATTCATCCTTCAAACGAGGAAAATCTCTTTAAGAAAGACGCGGGTCATCATTGCTCTCTGCTGGGCTGAAGCCTTTGCCACCTCAGCTCGGCCGCTTTCTTTTGCGAGGGCTCGGACGCAAGAACCCTTTCATTTCAACATTGGTCACTACCCTTTGCTTCTACACTTTTGTAATCTTTCTGCTCTCTGTTGTCCTCCCCTCCCTCCCTTCTCTCCCCTCTTCCATAAGCAGGATTTCAACTCCAATCTGCTTGCCGGCTGGTGCATGTCTGGGAGCTTCATACTTGCCAACTGCACGTAGTCCAGTGTTTCTTAGGTTTACATAAAAAATCCACACTTTCAGAGGTAATGAATCCATTGTTTGTCCTTATCATTGTATCTGCCCTAAAGTCTAGACTCCAATGGTTATAAATCAATTCATGGTACCCTATTTATTCATTACCATACCATTCGTTCTACCTGCAGCATATTCACATGAAGCCTTGATGTTCTCGGAGTAGCTGATTCATACTTCATAGAAGCTTTTCATTTACTTGGCAATGCCTCAGCCCATTGAGAAATACATGTATGCGAGCTTAGATAGCTTTCACCTTTTCCACAATCCTTTCAATCACAGAATCCATCAACTCAGGGTGTGCAGCGGGGTCAGGTAGACCCCAATCCTCTACAGTAGTAGTCTCAGGCAGGTCCACCTTGGGTAGGTTCGGCTGCAGGTAGGAAAACAAACGAGGAAAGGCTTAAGATATAAGTAACATACTATATAGTGAGGAAAAGAGCAGAATATGGGCAACATGACTAAGGTTAGAATCATGGCATGATGGAACAACCATCCTGTGGCAAGAATGATTTAGCAAAACAGAATAAAAGTGCAAGGTCCCAGAGAATGCAACTGGAAAATGCGAGTTTCGATATTTCCTGAAACCTCAAACCAACGTACCACATCATGAGCCTGGCCAGACAGACCATCATGACACCAACTCACCAGACAGCCCATCATGACGATAAGATCCCAATTGTTCTCCAGACCCCCAATCGTCTCATCTGCAATACCCTGTGGATTGCAACCAGTGAAAGAGCAGCAAAGAATCAGTCAACGTATTTCAAGACGCACTTCGTGGATGCTAATGATGGCCGTGAAGCATGGAAACCCATGAGCTCCATATGGTGAGTCATTTCTGCTATCTACCTTGGAGCGTGCATGGTCAGTGGGATAGCCACGTGTCTTGAGAGCCTCGATCATGACAGGATTCAGCTTCCCTGCGGCATCCACGCCTGGACGAAAGGCACAGCAACGAGCACATAAACATCATTCGTTTGTACGAAGACGTATCACCAGAACCGAGCATGCTCGTGTCTGTACCCCATGGATCCAGTTTAAGCTTGACGAAATGATTGGAAACGTGAATTGGACATACCTACTCTGGACTTAAAGCTACCTAAACCCTGTGCTACAGAGAGCTGTACAACTGGAATCCAGTGTCAAAAAGTTTGTGTCAGAGAGATCAGGGGTCAAAACTTCAAAAACACGCTGGTAACCCTCGCCTCACTTTTAACATTGGAACTCAATGCTCAGGTATGAAGCCATAACCGTTCTTAGAATAATTCAACCCTGTTTCTCGTTCCTTCATGCTCACACATACCATTCACTTTCCCTCTCATCGCTGATAAACAGTCTCTTTCTTCGTACGGTTAACCATTATGACACCTTGAAAAAAAAAATGCTCTCGTTTTACTTCTCAAAATTCCCAATGCTGCCTCACTCAACCGCGTTGATACCGCTCGGATTTGGCCCGTACCTGCGCTTTCGACTTGGAGCTCTGGCCGCAGATGGCGGGCGATCGCTTCGGCGGCGATCGAGCGATTAGCATTGTGGCTGCAAACGAAAAGAACGCGCTTCGTCATGCTGATTGATTACTGCGTATATGGGGATAAGCGGGGCAAAGAGTAATGGGAGGGGAGGTGGCGTGGTGTTTGACTTCAGTAACTCCAGCCGACATAACAAATTCCAGAGACACCTGAATGATGACGACGAAGGCTGCGGCCGCATGTCACGAAGCCGTCGATTAGCAAACGATTAACGCGCTATTAGAAAGCAACTGTCGGCGACAGAAAAGCGGCAGCAACCATCAGGACTCACCCAAGGAGACAGCTGAAGACGTGCGGGAAATGGTGCTCGCAAATGCTTTCAGCTTGATTAGCTCCGCTTGATTTAATCTCTCTTAGGCAGCGCCAGCGTGGCTCTAAGTAGCTTTTGTCCCAGACCAGCCATAATTTCCTAGAAACCCACTTGAAAATACCTCTCTTGTTCCGTTTCCGGAATCTTTCCCCCAGCAGAGATGAAAGAGAATATTTCCGCAATGTTCCCCCTTTCCTCGTATCCTGCCCCCAACCCCCTTCCCCCTCCCCGCATTCCACCTTGCCCTCCCCTCCAACTTTCCCCCAGAAAAGGAATATTCTTTTTCTTGGAATTTCCAGGAAACTCATAATGCTCTGGACCTGTCTGAAGGATGCGAAACAGCCCCACTGTGAATTCAAGTTTTTGAAGTACACCAGAAAGCGCGTTTCTGTGCACATGTACGACCCCATATTTCCGGGTAAATCTGAGCGATGGCAAAAACTGAAACTGGAAACACTCCGCTTGACCAGAAGCTCTAAAACATAATAGCGGAATAATCATCCGGTTTTAGAGAGGGGATCAGCTTCCATATACTTGACGTGAGAAATTTCTCGTCTACGCTAAAAATGTTTTCTGCCAAGCACCAGGACTACCCGAGATTGTCGAGATTACCGAGATTACGTTACGGTACATCCCTGACTTCCCGCCTCTGCGACAGCGCCGCCAAAAGCTGATGAAACCAACCTCCACCACCACCACCTCTATAAAATCGCTCGGGACACTTCTGCTTGATCCAGCTCATCGTGGCTCGATCCAGTAGTCGCTCGTCTTCTCACTCGCCGTTCAGCTTTCAGTTGCTTTGCCTCACACATCCTCAACTTGCTGCCATCGAGTCTCAGTCACCCCGCGGCGTGTGCCTACGCGATCCGCTCGCGATTTTCTTCTCATCACGCTGCAATGGCGGAGGCTGTAGTTCATGGAGTGGAAGTGCGATGCGTGCCGGAAAATAAGACGCTTCCGTCGCTGCTGGCGTCGTCGGAGCCTGGCGTGAACGAGCAGCAGCTGGGCTTGCGGTGCCGCTTCAAGAGCAGCACCGGCGAGACGGAGGAGTACCCGGCTACCATGAAGAAAGCGGGAAGTGGCGCGACGCATTTCAGCTGCTGCTGCCCGTCCGAGGTACGTCATACGGAGGAACGTCATTCGGAACCAAGTCCATCGGGCAGCAAAGCCGAGGCCACGAGTTTCCGGTTCTACCACTGATATGGGTCACGTGCTCCCCGTCTCCACTCAATTCCGCATTTCCCCACTTACATGTTCCGTCTCCCCAGACTTGGGTTGAACCCCCCTCGCACCACATACCTTTTCTTTACCCCCATTTTCTCTCTCCCCGTACCCTCTCCTCTCTCCCCTCTCCCGTCTCCGTTTCCCACGAAAGGCCGTTCCGCGGACGGACTCGGCGCGCGCGATGCTGGTTTGGGGCGCGGAGGGCGAGGAGGAGGTGGCGTGCCGCGTGGTGGAGGCGCTGGAGGAGAAGAATGCGCCCGCCGTCAAGGAGCTCTCCGCCGCCGGTGGGTTGCTCCATCTCACAGCTTGTCGCAGCGTGTCATGTTACAGCGTGTCATGTTACAGCATGTCACATCGTATCGCACACCTTCTCGGCGCTGCTCCCTCATCCCTGCATAATTCCTTGTCTTTTCAAATTTCTCTTTCTCCCTCTCTCCCCCACCCTTTACCCACCCCCTCTTCCTCCTCGTGTTTCAACAATTTCCCCATGCGACAATGTGCAGCCGTGTTTCAAAGCATGTCGCTGCTCGACCGCTACCTGGCCGTGTGGATTCTCCTCGCTATATTTATCGGTGTGCTGCTCGGCTACAACGCCTCGGCCATACCCGGGCTTCCCTGCTCACTCTCTCGCCCATCTCTGCCCTCCCTTTCCCCCTCCCCGGGCTTTGCACTCTCTCTCACTGTCAAACGTACAGCCGTGTTTCAAAGCATGTCGCTGCTCGATCGCTACCTGGCCGTGTGGATCCTGCTCGCCATGATTATCGGCGTGCTGCTCGGCTACTATGTGCCGGCCATCCGCGACGCCTGGGAGACCGTGTCTGTCGCCAACGTGTCGCTCCCCATCGCCATTGGCCTCTGGTGGATGATGTACCCCGTGCTCTGCAAGGTAGGGTTAGTTACCCCATGCTCTGCAAGGTAGGGTTATTTACTCCGTGCTCTGCAAGGCAGTGTTACTTGTCGGGAGACTATTGTGAGCTAGCAAACGGTCAATGGAGCAAGCGAAGTCGGGTTAAACCCGAAGTTCACTTCTTTGCTTGCGACTCAGGTGCCTTCTTGACCCCTAAACCCGATTTCCGAACCCAGGATCCAAACCCCAACTTCCGTCCTCTCCTTCCCTGTTTGCGCAGGTTCGGTTCGAGCTGCTGCCGAAGCTGTCCCGATCCTGGGGCCTGCTGTTCCACATCGGCATCTCCCTGGCGGTCAACTGGGTGTTCGCTCCCCTGCTCATGACAGGTGCGTCCCTTTCGATTCATACCACTTCTATGCGCCTTGAAGCACTTGACAAGGTTTATTCACTGATTGTGGTACTTCCGGCATGGGTTGCTCTTTCCATGCCTACATCAAGCCCTCAGCTCCAAGCCATGATCCATACCAAACTCATCCTTGTCTATCCACTCTGTCTCCTTCCATTGCTCCCTTCCCCACCACCAGGGCTGGCATGGGCCACTCTCCCCGACCAGGCAGGGCTGCGATCAGGCATCATTCTGGTGGGCATTGCTCGCTGCATCGCCATGGTGCTCATCTGGAACCACCTGGCGGGCGGCAACGCCGAGTTCTGTGCCATCCTCGTGGCCGTCAACTCCATTCTGCAGGTTCGTTTGTTCCTGTCCTGTGCCTGTGCTCCTGCTCTGTTTTGCTGTTGCTTTCTGTCTTGCCTGCTGTTGCACCCCATTCTGTAGCTCTCAACTCCATCCTGCAGGTCCCTTCTCGCCCCCCGTTCGCCTCTTCTCCTCCCCCAATCCCTTACACCATCTGCTCATCTTCTCCACTCTTATTTCCCCCACAGGTGATCCTATACTCGCCACTGGCCATATTCTACATTGGGCGTGTCCTTCTGGACCGTCGCTAAGAGCGCGCTCATCTTCCTCATCTGCTCATATTCCTCGGAGTGCTTTTCCTCC